TTTTTTTTTTTTTTTTTTTTTATCAAATTACATAAAAACGCGCCAGCCGCCTCCTCGATGCACTTCTCTCGCCGCTCAATGATTACGGGCGTTTATGTACGGCCATCGGTTGTTTTAGTGTATTGCCCGGTGAAAGTGTGTTGGGTTTTAGGTGAAAGCAGGTGTAGAATAATAACACGAGATCAACCGGCAGCCACTGCATCGAATACGAACGGCGCACCTGGACCTTGTAGCGCGTAAAAAGATTTTTTTTTTTTTTTCACGAGCGGCGCCCTCATTGTGGAAAGGGACACCTACAATATCGGATGCACCGGGCCCCTAATCGTTTTTCTCCGACCGTGCACCTGGCACGAGGATCTTTCGGATCTCACACGCGCCTGCCCCGATACCACAGTTACAATTCACTAGATCAACGGGGCTCACATGTCGGAGCAACGCATGAAAATACCCAAATCACGACTACTAATCGCCATTATAATAAAAAACAAAATCCCAGACGTAATTGCAGTTGCACGCTGTAATTTTACATCAGTTGTTTGCGTTATTATTTTTATTAGACCGCGCAATTTATATGATAGAGAAAAACGTAACCAAACCGTTAGGGTTCGGTACGATTTTCCGGAGGGTCATGTATTTACGTCTGAAATAATAATAAAACGAGTACACTTCGGTAAAAATTCGCCATCATCAAAGCGCACTGCGGTAAACAAAAAAAATTACATATATATATATTTTTTTTTGAAACAAAGTTTGCTGCGCTAGTAGCATTTGTTACTTAGGTATGTGGGTCATTGTCCACGGCACACACGCGCGCGCTCTTTCCCGGACTGTTACACAACGCAGTGCATTCCTAGCACGTTGTTGTTGTACTCGGGAGCCACGCGACTGCTCAATTGCTGCGACGGAACGCGATTTTCACAAAAAAAAAAAATAATAATAAACCATTTGGCAGTGCACTGCATTGCGGATAGGATACATTTTTTTTCCAATCGACACTAAAGTCAGTTGGTAAAAAAAAAAAGAAACCGCAACAATCCAAAAATATATTGAACAAATTTTACCTGAACGAACATGGCCATGCGGTCCATAGATCAGACGCGCACCACATACAACCGACTAGTACGATTGGCACTCGAGTTGTGCGCGCCGCGGTGAATTACCTACACAGCATCCGGCGGGCACGTCACCGAAATGACGTAATCCGGCGGCAATGGTCAATTTCAGTTGGGGCCAGCGCAGGCGTCCCCGCGACCCACGGGGTTCCCATTTGTGCCGCCTGGTGAACGGTGTGAAAAATGCCGCGAGTTTACCGCGGAGAGCGGGAAAACGTGAAAAGCGATACTAACGCACCTAAGGAAAAAGTTTCATTGACGGCGGCCGAGCGCCATGGAAGCCCTACCGACTGGCAGCACAATTAAAAACTAACTAAATCCAACAGCTTAGACATACCTTAGTTACAGACTTTTTCGAGATTTTCTCCTTGCGACCAATACGCAACACCCTGGCCAAAGTTTGCGCAAACTGCACGGGACGTGAACGAACTAATACCGCAGTGGTCGACGATTGTTTTTTCTGATACTTGGTATCCATCACGGGTTAAAAAAACACTGTGCGAGCGGCGACCAAACGAAACACGTCAAGTCAACGGCGGCAACGACGTAATGTCATCTTAGTCGTCGTCAGCCTATGGACACACTCCGCACGCATTTACAATAATAAAAACAATCGGCGGAATAACAACACGACCGACGATAAATAAAAACAAATTGACACTAAAAATTATTATGTCCGTATCGAGTGTCGGGGAAAAATAAAAACGCAACAGTTCGAGCTGAATAACTGAAATGATAATAAATATTTTTGGCGTTGAGCGCGAGGACGTTGGTAATTTTCAGATGTTGTTAAACGCAGAACAGTCACCGAAGAGTACTGAGTGAAGACTGCCGGTGGTCGCGTCGTCTGACCGAGCTCAACGCACTCGTGGCGGCGGCGGCGTTAGTAAGCATTGGCGGTGGAGATGGTAGTGGTGGTAGCCGACGAGGAGGGGAGACGGTCCCCCACTGAAGTCGATTCAACGTGTGTGCGTGTACGAGTGTAGTCGACGGTCACCACCGCCGCCACATTATTATTGTATTGAATATCCGTGTGGATCCTATCCTACCGAGTACCCGCCAAAACGGTTGTTCTCTTTTGTACGACACGCATTCCATTCTGCTGTACGGTTTCTATTTATGTTTTCTCTCTCTCGCGCCAACGCTCGCCGCGTTGTTACCCTCCTAAAATTATTGGAGTATTTTTTTTTTTTCTTCTCGTTCCTGGTAAAATAATAATTTTCACAATGATTTCGCATGGTTTGATACTGTCACAGCGGCCGCTGCCTTCATCACCGGGGTAAAAAGGCGCCGTCTCCTCGGGTTCGGTGACCTCGAACCGAAACGTGTTATTTAATGTTATTGTCGTTCGAAGGAGGGAACGCGTAACCCACGTGAGCCTACTGCAGCACCGCGTCTCGGTGTTCACACCGAGGAAATTTAGCGGCCACTGCATTTTTTTTTATCAATGAAGAACAATCGGTCGTTAACGTTCACACTCTGTCGCAGGCAAAAAATACAATTATAAAAAAAAAAAAAAAGTTCCTTCGAGAAAATAAGCGCTGATCGTAGAACGACCGAGTAAAAACGACGCCCGTGTGCTTTAAAAACGCTTTCGTGGCACAGCGTTAATTTGTCCTAAACTGTTTGTTGCAACTTGCAGCACACTATAGAAAACGGTGTGCACAGTCACCACAAAATGTTGAAAATAAACTCCGTCAACGGAGTTGTTCGCATTGTACGCCGTGATGAATTTAGAATAACATTGAATTCGTCGGGTCCAGCCCGGAGACACGTCTCTTTTTCCGCCGACTCACTACCCTAATGACTCACCGATATTTTCCAATACTCGTTGCGTCTTTTAAAAAACATATCAATGCCACGGACTCAACCGCGGATTGTATAAAAATAGCACAAGAGATTTCACGGGCAACAGATAATAAGAAATAAATATTATTATTCACGGGCAGATACCCAAGGTCGCGCCTTGAGTGATTGTGACTTGTTGATTCAAATTCGATACGGCCGAATACGGCAAACGACCTTATAGTACCGCCAAAATTCCATCGCTCCGTGTCTGTGTACGCATAGAAGTAGTTTCCGGGTGAATACGCTCAGCCACTACTGTCACAGGGTCAACAAACTCGAAAAATATACAAAGATAACGTGCATAACACATCTTTTTGTCGGTCTGCTCGTCCGATAGTATTCCTACCTTTCCCTTTTACTATTGAAACGGTTCGCGTTCGACTGTGGTAACAACGCCGTCCGGAAGGGAACGACAGGAGTCGTACGAGGGAGCCAACACCCCAAAAGTTATCCCGGCGAACGAAATCGGTCGGCAGCAATACTGGAGACTCGCGATGGCAACCGTACGCGTTGCCCTTATTAGTCGTATTATCCTTTTTTAATGATTTTACTTCAGATCGTTCGTCTGGTATCGTTATTTTCTACCCACTCGCACACACACACACGCGCGCGCGCTCGTGAGTCACACACCAACGACTTACAAATAAAACGCTACACTTCACTGCACTACATTTCAGTCGGGTCGTTAATAAATACCTCGGGAACGTCTGCGTGTATATAAATGACTCAGACTCACACATAGAACACGTCGAGTCTATTGACCCCATCGGGCGGCGGCGGCGGCGGCGCCTACAAAAAAAAAAAAATATCCCGCGTGTTTGCACACCGACCAGACGGATGGCCGGACAGACTCTCCATTATATTCGCCTCCTATTGGTACTCCGCTTCACCGCCGCCTGCCCGACTTTCTACGCACGTGAAGAATTTCCGCTCTTATAATACCGAGGAATGCGCGTTGCAATGTGTGCCGAGGAGAGCGAGAGAGAAACGCACGCGAACGGCCTGCATAGTGTGCAGTCGGCCTCTGCGAGAACGGCCGAGTGAATGAAACACATTCTAGAGGCGCAGAAAAGGGCACCAGACGAACGGATACGGCACGGCGGAGGCGAGTAACCCGAAATGGCATCCATCTAGCCGTTACGACGATTTGCCCGGCCGTCGGTTAGTGCCAATAATACCGCCGCCGTCGCGTACAGGGGATCGTGCGGGGTCGTTGTACTGTACGTTTTTCGGGCCCCGGCCGAGACGCGACACGCGGAGACAGGGGCTCTTCTACGCAGTACGACGACCAAATTTTTCCCCTCTCCGGCGGCCGGTAATTTCGTCGTGTTATACTTTGGCACACCGCTGCTCTTTCGGAACCCCAATTGTTGTGTGGGGCATGCCCCACAGCCAAACGTACGCCAACAAAACCGAGTATTAAAAATCCGCAGACGCCTGTAATTACTCCGAGTACGCCGCCATAATAGAACACGTCACCGATAATTGCGCGTCTATTTTTCCTCGGCGAGCCAACACTTCTGTTTCGGTGCCACTTGCGCGTTGTACGCCGTTAAAGGCGCTATTTTTTCTATGGCTCACGGTGTTTCCTGGCTGACGAAGCAGTACAATGGATTAGATAAGGCGACAAAAAAACAATACCGCTCGCATTACGAACGAGCATTGTTCGCGACGTGAAGTATTATGGCACACGATTTTTTTAATTCCCAACCAAACGGAAACCGAGTTGTTTTTTTTACCGAGTCCCTAGACATGACCGGCGCGCATGGTCTAGTTTCTATTATGCAAACACACAAATCACAATAACAATTTGTCAACACACACAAGTAAACGGGACGATTTCCGTTGCTCACACGCCTAACTGGGTCGCGACAATTTCGAGATAAGCTCGCACTAGACGCGGATCGTGATTTTGTAATACCTCTGCGGACGCACACAAGGCGAACACACACACACAGCAGATAAGCACATTACCGTTTCACTTGTCTCGTGTCGGAAAGCACATCGTGTGTGTGTCGCCTATGCGGACTACTATCACGAAGTTGTTGCGAGACGAGTTTTACCTGTACACGCAACTCGGACAGACGCGTTTTTCGTAGAGTTTGCGATTTTTATGGTAACACATCGACCGCGGTACGTGCCAAAACGCATGTAAACAGACACAATATCGTTTTTATGGATGTAAAACGGCCGACGCAGTCGACGCCCCGAGCTGCGAGTATTAATTTTTTTTTTTTCTTTTTTAACAAGCAAATCCCGTCGTTTGCAATGAAAATTCGGCGGGGTGCGCGCGTCAAAGTTTGATATTCTGGCAGACCCTCTTCATTCCGGATAAATCCCTTAAGTACCCTTAGGCGGTAAAAGTCAATGGGATCCAAGACGCGTCCCCCGGCGCCCGGAAAAGTCTAAACAACGACGAAAACTATAGAATAACACTAATAAGTAATAAAAGTAACGATTTTAACAGCCCGTGAAATACAGTGGCGCATAATGACACGTTCGCACGCTCTGAATATCATATCAGCTCCGCCGACAGGGTACTACATAATTAACCGTCGTGTTGTCGGAGTCGCCCGTGAAAAACACAAAAACCCAATGATTGTGGACGCAATTGATAGTTTCTGTGTATAAAATAGAAAAAAACAAACGTAATCGTGTTTACAAACAACAACAACGACGCGCTATGATACGATTCCTACTGTTATTATAATTTTATTTTTAAAACCTTCTCTCATTATTTATACTTCCCACGGCTAAATTTGAAAAAAAAAAAAAAAAAAAAACGAGGACAAATCATTGTACCATTGTGACTGGCGTAGTAAATGTTCGAAACCACAACAAGCTCGAAATAAAAATAACAATATAATTAATTCATATTTTTATCTTTGGTGGCGGTACACGAACCACCGGTGCAATGTTCATACAGCTAAACTATATTTTATCGCTTCTAATAAAGACGGTAGAATTTGCGCTCAAAAATAGTATAAGATTTGCATCAAACCGTAAAAAATAACACAATAAGCGTATCTCCATAAAGCACACACGATGTGTTTTTGCGAAATATTAAAATGCAAAACGCAATCCGAGTATCGATTTCAATAAGAAAAACATGCAAGACGCGCGTTTTCAAAACATGTTTTTCCCAAAATCATTTATAGACAACGTTGTCTACCGAACTCATCGACCCCACGGGGTCTTGTGTAGGTACAACCGAGTCAGGCGTACTTAACTTTTAGTACGCCCAGTTATAACCCCAAGTACACTATTTGCACGCTAAGGTACGACCGTAACGGGTTATGGCCAATATTATGTTCGGAATGCGTCTAACACCGCAGCACACGCGATAAAATTCCTTAGTGTTTGGTATGCACCACCGTGGCGACCTATAGCTCAACCAACGACAACACATTCATTGCGCTTAAAAATACACGGAGCGCACAGAACACAAGGAACCACAGTCGATGCGGTAAAGGTCGACGGCTACGGTGGGATTGGACGAATTAACACACGTAAAAAATACTATCTGGACCATCATCTGAAACATTTACCAGCACAGCGAAAACGCGCGTCCGTCGAAAAAAATAACAAATCGGTGTGTGTGTGTGTGTGTGGAAGAAAATAACGACGATTCGGCTGACGCGCGTTTGACATTGCACAATGGCGAATATCATTGAACGCGCGTACAGTGTACAGGAGGACCGCTCTATGACATCACTGGCAAAACTCTGTCTAAAAAAACTTATCCTTGAAACGATTCTGGGAATCCGCGTAATATAATCACGCCGGCGGTTGTGGTACAAAACAGCGCACTGGTAATGGTAAAAATATTGTTTTTCTATCAATAGGCGACAACCGTTTTTCGACCACCGCCGTCCACCGACGGCTGTGAAAGTCGAGAGCTGTGCAATTTGAAATCTGTGCAGTCGTCCGGCTGGTTATTAAAAAATGTTGTTGTGTCATGTCTGCTACGTGTACTACACCGCCGACATTGGGA